TTTTTTCCTTTGCCAACTAATGTGATATTAAACTTTGTTAGTAGAGGACATTGGTGAGATGTTGCCAAGAAGAAAGACATTTCCTTTCCGGTTCTGGTGTGATTGCTCCCAGCCCCGCCTCTCCAGCACCCAGCTCCTGCAGTGCATGGTAGTCAATGGCACAAAAAGGCCAGCAGCTTTCCCCAGCACTCGCCTTGGGTGGTTTTTTAGTGGAGTGCTTCTGGCAGAACACCTCTCTGAACAGATTTTGCCAGCACCCTAGAGGGTGGATTTCCAGCAAGTTCCAACAGCATAGCACCCCAGTGACTTCTCTACCATTCAGTGAGCCATGGCTATCCCCTCTCCAAAAAGGTCTGGATATCAGCTCTGGGAGGAGTGTTCTCTCTGTCAGCTCTGGGGGTAGTGGCTGCTCCTACGTGTGCTATTCCTATATTCTTTATAGTTCGCTACTGCCAATCCCTCGTTACTCCAATCCTATTATAATTAATAGTTATTTATATTAAAGATATAAGTTGTTCAGATAGCTGCATGTTTTTTTTCTCTTGGCTAATACAAATGACTCATTGCACTTCAGACAAGATCATGCAAGGAGGAGACAGCCTAGACTGATGTGTCAAATATAAGGTGCCAAGAATTCTCTATGTTATTTTCCATTTTCAATGGGTGGGATATAAAGGCACAAGGGATAGCAACAGGATGGAGCAGAAGCACCTGTGTTCAGTTTCCTCTCCTGTCACCCTAGTCAGCCATTGTAAGGGGAGACAGTCCCTTTTTGTGTCCACTTTGGCAGGCGCTGGGTTTTGGCTGGCTTCTGCTGCATGTGGGTACCTACCTGCAGCTTGCAATGGCTTCTCAGTCAGCTGCAACCAGAGCCGGAATTGCTCTGCTGGCCTCTTTCTTGTGGTCTTGCAAATGGAGCACCTTCTGAAGTCAAGATGTTTGAAAAACATGGCCTGCCCTCTCTGTGTGGACAAAGCTCCCAGTTTCACCTTGACTACTCCAGGCTCCTGCAGACAGACATCCCTTAAGGGGTTCTTTCACATGCCATCTCTAGACCTTGAATCTGTTGGTTATATTGCAACTCTCACACCTACAAAGGTTGTTGGCCTGCCAATACCAGCATCATGGAGATATAGAAACAAGGGACAGAGGCTCCCCATGCTTGTGCCTCCTTCTGACCCCTACCAAGGCACTGAAGTGTGTCTTGGTGGTATAAGACCAGGATAGGAGAAAAGGGTTTTTAGCTATTGGAATTCTGGGTCCTTAGTGAGGATCAGGTGAAGCTCCTTCCTAAAATGACAGGATGATCAAGTGAGAAGTTGAGGATCATGAATGAATGGTTACTGCCTATAAATCCCAGAAATCCTGGGGCAAAGTTGAGTATCTGGAGAGCCTTCCACCTAAAAAACTTTACTTTCTTGTACATTATCATGAGGATCCTTTGGTTGGGCTATCTGGAAATTCTGCCTCTGGATCTCAATCCACAAATCTAGGTTGTCCCAGGGGGTGCTGCTGCTATAAAGCAGTCAGGATTGCCATCCCAGCAGGGAACAGCACTGACAGGGTTCAAAATCAGACAATAAATCCCATCTCAGTGGGATCCTCTAGGCTAAAGGTCCAGCCTATGTAAGTGGAATCCTCTAGGCTAAGTGGTCCAGCCTATGTAGTCATTCCTGCAGGTGACTACAGAGTGGATTCCTCAATGTCCTCAATCCTCAGAGAGGATTCCTCTGCCTCTCTGAACCAATGGAAATTTCCAAATAGAGCTGCATTTGGAAGTATAAAATTAAGCATCTGGGTGGAACATTGTCTGAATATGTCTGGGGGCAGATACATTCTGCCTTGACTTGTGGGAGCACCAAGTGAATAATGCCTCCTTATTTCGGCCAATAGGGATGTGGTCAGCTCACCAGGGAAGTCCGTATCTTTGTTAGGAAGTTTTGGTGAACATAGTTTCCAGGAAGAGTATTTTGCTTATCCCTTCCAAGGGTAGAGGAGGGTGAAATTAACTTATCTGTTCAGTGGGGTCCTGCAAGTACACTCTGCTGCCCCTGTGGAAATAGATACAGAGCTTCAAGACAAGGGCTGAAAAAAGGCTCTTTCAATCCTACCAAGCCAGGTGAAAAAGCTGAACTGGAAAGTCAGGGACCTCAGTGCAAAGAGCACCTAACTGACTGAGAAGAAGTTTGGGGGCAGTGCTGGTCAAAGCATCACTGCCAGGGCTGGCTACCAAATGCTGGATGAGGCAGGGCCAGAAGTAGGCAACCAGCTTTAAAATGCCAAAGACAGGACAGTCATGAGCTGGGGGAGGGGTGGTGATGGTGGAGGGGGTGGAGAGATGGAAATGACATTGTAAGAGTAGGGACAGTAGGCACCCATGACACGTACACACAAAGATGGGTCCCTGGGGCAGAGTAAGCGGAGGCAGAGCTGAAGATAAGGATGTAATTTTGAAAAACACACTAAAAAAGGCATTTATAGGGATTTAAACCTACTCATGATAACATTCTAGGGACTTAAACCTACTCAGGATACCATCCAATCCCTTTACAAAAATAACAAAAGAATAAAGATTTCAACTAAATTCTTAACTTATAAATTTCTTTTAACGGAGGTCAAGCTCCAAGTTTTGTGGTGCTTTTGGGGTTCTATTTCTTAATTTTATTAATAAAGGAGATAAGTATGTATACATCTATTCCAAAGATCTACTGGAGCTAGGCCATCTGCCAAGGTCACTTAATATAGGGAAAAAACAACAACAGGGTCTATAATAAATTAAGAGAATCTTCTAAAAGTCATGGTTTGTGGAAGGGTGATTCAGTTTGCTACTGAGATCACAGAAGGGTGAGAAAGGTGCATCACAATCTGATTACAGGCCCCTTTTATGAAGTATTTCTGGATGGTTCAAGATGGTTCAACTCAGCCTTCCTACAGTTGTGTTGGATTTTTTTCCTGGTGCACAACAGTTCTGTTTCCACTTGGTTCCAGGCGGTTGGAGGTGGTAGAATCCCAGGATCTTCAGATTATGTCAATGCTCAGGAAGAACAAGTGTGTGACGGAAGAAGTCCTTAGCAATCGGGAATGGGGCTGCCTCGTTTCTAAGACTCAACTGACTGTTACTGTGTGTATATGCTGGGAAGGGAGCTTTGTGGAGGGGGAGGTAAAAGCTTGGACATCATATCTAAGACTTTTGTAATAACACTATCAGTTTTTCCTTATATTTAGACTTTAGAAGAAGATATTCATCTAAGGGAGAAATGAGATGCCTAATGTTCACAGCTAGTAAGATCACTGTAGAAATGACTGGAGAAGGGAAAAAAGGCACATAATTACTCTTGCTCAGAACAAGATGCTCATTGGCATCCTATTCATATAGGCACTTTATTTTAAAGTTATGTTAGAAATAAAGTTTAAAATTATGTTTAAAAAATAGAGAATAGTATAAAGTACGTGAAAGGAAAAACAAAATGGTAAGGAGTCAAAGGACAGGAAGTTAAAGGTAAGTGAACACAAGCTTGAGCAACATGCTAGAAGTTAAGCAAATCAAAATGAAAGGTAATCAAAGCTAGCTAAGAGATCATCTTCAAAATGATGACAAAGGAACAAATAGGCAGGACTGAGACCCAGATCTAAGGGTCGTAAGTCCCAAGCCAGGCACACAGCATCCCCTGAGCCACACTAAAGAGCCTCACATTCAATTATTCTCTTGATGTCAGGGGTCCCTGAAGGAGGGCCGCGGCCTCAGGCACACTCCCCACATGATCAGGCTGCATCTGTGTGGTTAGGCCAGGAGGCTGCAAGAGTCTGATTAACTCAAGCTGTCCCGGATCATCCTGCCATACCCAGGATCCAGCCAGAGAGCCACTACTGACCTCCACTCATTGCCCATGAGCAGGGTCCTTCTCCATCTAGCAAACATGTGCCCCTTACTAAGAAGGGCGGCACCCTGGGGACCCCAGCTAGCTCCTTAATACTCAGGGACTACTTAAGACCTACGCATCCAAGGAAGTTTTCTAATATGACTTCTAGAGTATCTGCTTTTAAAATCTGCACAGACTGAAGCAGGGTGAAGCCCTGAGTCTCAGAGGTGGGACACTGAGCTCTGTTGTCAGTGTCCCACTGACAAGAAGGGAGGGCTCTGTTGAACACCTGTGAGGATTTCCGAAAAGGGCTCTGGGTTTGAATCCTGACTTGGCCATTTACTAGCTATCTGCCCTTAGGGCAATTATGTCTCCATGAGCTTCAGTTTCCAACTTATTAAGTATTATTAGTGTATCATTACTATGTGATTGTGTGCACAGTAATTAGGTCAGGGAATACATTTGGCACAGGTAATGCAGCAGTGCTTTTGTTTAAAAGTCAGAATAATCAGAGATTTAAGGAAGCAGTTGGAGGGTGGCATAGCTACCCAGCATGTCAGAATTCACCTTTCCATGAAAGTGATTCCATTAAGTGACTCCATGGGGCATCCTGATGAGGACACTCATTAGCCAGGAAGGTGTCAAACTCTGCTTTCAGAGGAAGGGCAACTTATACCCATTTTCCTCAAGTAAGGGTCTTAACCACTAAGGCTTACATAAGCTTAGAGCCATTTATCTCGCCCTTGAAAGAAGTGGTGACATGATAGGAGGGATTTCTTTCAGAACCACCTGACACGGCTGTTAGCCACAGAGTGACCGTGCAACTGTGGTATCTTCTTCCCCTGAAGACCTCTCAACACAAGAGGGCAAAGCCTAGGCTGGGTGGGCACACTCCTACCGGAACAGAGACAAGGCTACAGTTACTGCAGAAGGGCCTTCATGGTGCCCATCTCCCTCTAACTTCAAGTCAGGGCAGAAGTTCAGGGGCTGGTCTCAGGAAAGAGCCTCTTTTATTTAGCTGAGTATTTAAAAATATAACACATTTTAAGCAGAAATCGAGACATAGTCTGTGATTTGCTCGCACAGTGGGGGGCAGAGGAGGGATGAGAGTAAGTCTCTAAAAAAGAAAGGCACAGCACCCAGGTTCTAATTCTTTACTTTAATGCCACGTGAGGGTACTGAGGCTCCATGCACCAAAGCGCTCACAGACAGGGAGTGAACGAACATAGGAAATGTTATACCATGTACACGAACCCAACACCCAACACCGTACAGAAGGAAGACAATGGACCCAGGTGACCTCCCATACTCCAGAGGCAACCTGTTCCTATACCCAGTCTTTGTTCCCTCCTCCTCAACCCCTGCCCACCCACCCTTCTCCCAATTAACATATGTATACATGTATGATTCTTCCAGAATTCCAAAAAGTGCCTCTCCCACCCCAGTCTCTCACACTCTGGCTTCTGATGAATAGAGCCTCCCTCTTTTAAGGATCACAAGGCAGCCACTACCTTCATGAAAGAGTCACAGCAAAATGGTGCCCAAGAAAGCTTAATCACTTAGAATCAAATATGGACAGAAGGTATGCAGAAGGATATTTGAAATTCTAACTGGGATCAGTGTGAGTAGTTTTTGGTTTTTTGTTGTTGTTGTCATTTGTCTTAACCTCTTCAAAATCCAGCTGAGGCCAAGACTGCACAGTGAGGCTCACCCCACTTTGTGGTTTGGAAATGTCATTCTTCCTAGTCTTCCAACAAGCAACCCAGAACAGGAAGATAAAGTCACCTGACCAGCCTGAGGCACAAGGTTCAGACAGCTCCCAGAATATCCTCAGCCCCAGGAAGAAAGAATAGAAACTTTCAGAGCACAGTTGACTCCTTGCCACGTGATAAGCACTGGACAGCCTTGTGAATTAACCGAAGGTAGAATAAGGGTGGTGACGAGTCCTGTATTTCTTCTATTTAGAGTGCTACCCAAAGAATTCCCCCTTCTGGGATGGTGTGATGTGTTTCATTGTGGTTTTGCTTCAATCTTTTTTGTGCCATTAATTAACTTTTTCATTTTTATTGAATTTTGTTATGGCTGCTATTGCACCACACGATCCTGTATCCTAAAACTTTCACCTTCCCAACCGTGAGCATGACACCTGGGAGAAAAGGTGCCCACAAACACAATGGAAGCTCCAAAGGCAGGCACTTTGGTTTGACCCACCAACACGATGCACAAGAATGCTATGAAAATATACTCCCTTTTGATTGGGAAGAAGTGTTCATCCTTTGGGGCCCTCGTTCCTAACCCAACCGTTCTTATGCTTTAGAGTTGACCAGTTAGAGTTGAGAAAGGATACAACTTGGAGAAGTCTCTTCCTCAGATATGACCTTTATTTGGAGGCCATTACCACCACCACCACATCCAAAAGCACTTTTCAGCCTGGCCTTGGCTTCTCATCAGAGAATGGCCAAATTGGGCCACTGAATTCTTTTACTTCATTTGGAAAGAGCTCTAAGCTGGCTGCCAGTATCCCTGCGCTGCCTGGTCTACTGGCCCAGCGCCTTGTCTCCCCCACAATGGCACAGAACACACCACTGTGAGAACAACACAGGGGCAGAGCGGATCCAAAGGGGTGTCTCTAGCAAGAGGCACAAGGACAGTGTCCTTGTGCAGCATCTCTGCAGCTCCAAGCTTGTCTTCAGGGATTGTTTTTGAGCAAACCAATCACTCCATCCTACGTGCATGGACTCTAAATAACCAAGTACTGTGATACTCTGTGACAAGGGTGGGAGAGAGACAGGGCCAAGGCCAGATTCCTGAAAGCACTAGGATTAATTGTCTGCTTTCTACTCATACTGCCTTTCTCCTGAATAGCTTCCCTCAGTGTCTGTCTAAAAATGAATCTGTATTAGGCAGTAACACCAACTGGAGCAACTTAAATGAAAGACTTCTGTTAGAACAAGACAAGAGGCATGCTGTTGGACTAAGTTTCAAGCAGGGAAATCAACTCCAGAAAAGTGATGATTCATCTGTGGATGAGAACAATAGAAGGGATGCATACCTTGGAACCTGAACAACTGACTGTATACTTTCCTCTTAGATCTCATTCTATACCTCTGTTCCACCATATAAGAACACAATGTAAGAGTGCAAAACCATGCCCTGGAATCCCTGTTGCCACAGAGGGCCAGGAGGCCACTGCCTTATGAAGGAGTTCTGCCAAGGTCCTAAGGCTTGGCCTTCTCTTCCTTAGAAGGATACAGACATCTTTAGCTACCCCTTCCCTACATCACCAACCATTGGTCTCACAGGACTGAGACCAATGAGGCTGTCCTCACTAGTTTTTTATATACAAAAAATCTCTCTACAAAACACCCAGGAACAATCAAGCACAATCACAATCACATGGAGAAGTCTCTAATGCAGCACAGAAATGTTACGTTCCGATTACTGGTGCTGCATGGCTCTTCCTTTAGGGGATGTGTGTCCACATCCGACTGACCACCCTAGTCTGCACATGGAGCAAGAAGGAAATGCAGTGGGAACAGAGCCTTGTGAATCTTTTTCTGTCTCTGAAATGGGGACAGTAAAACACGATGGAAGTGCTGCTATCTTCCTACAGCTCCCGGGATAGCTGTGCCTCCCACCCAACCCTTTCTTTGCCTCCTCAGAACAGACACTCTCCTAGGAGAACATTAGCAGGATAAAGCAATAGGGTTAAAAACACAGGGGGTTTCTATCTAAGGAGGTTCACCACAAATTGGATGCTAACACATGAAATGGCAGCCAAAGAGATATTCTGAGCCTCTAGAAAGGATGTTACATCTCAAAGATAACAGAAGATCTATGCAACTTGTCTGCTCGATTCAGGGAAATCTTCAAAAGGAACCTCTGAAATCTGCATTACAGCCCTGAGAAGATAACCCTTCAAGCAAGGAAGGTTGGTGGAAGGTAGGAGAAGCCAAGGCCCTAAGGCAGGGCTGTAAACATTGTGCTTTTCTAAGGCCAACCTGGTACATGGCTTTGGCAACTATGGTTACATCTCCAAAAAGTGGTGAAGAATATGTTCCAGGAGGAAGAGTCTTTCCACATCCTAAAACAAAGCATGGAACTATCCCTGGGGGAAGAGGGAGAGAAGATGCTTCTTCTTCAGCCAGGGGCTGTGGGGTGGCTACCTGGGTAAACCCCCCATCATATTCTGTGTTCATACCTATACACTAGGCACAAGGAAGGGATACGTGAACAGGGTTGAGGAAGTGATTATGCCTACAACAGTTTGGTAACGTGGCTCTAAAAAGGGCAGAAACTCTCTTGCAAGAACAAGAGTGACAAAACCTCTCTGGACTTTCTGGTCAAGCCCTAGCTACCCAGACCCCTAAGCCTCAGGCAGAGACTGCTGTGCCTTGAGGAGAGGTCAGGTGAATCCAGGCACCAGGTCCCTGTGGGCCACAAGCCCTGAGCCTGACCCCGAGGTACAGCTGGGAGACCTCCGTCCCCTTGGAGCTGTGCCTCAGGACTTGGTCCTCACCTCAGCAGGTCTGGGGCAGTCAGTATCCCTTCCAGGGATCTTACTCCCAGCGCCACTAAGGGGAATGGACACCCTCCCTGATAGGACTCTGTTCCCTACCCGGGCTACTCACCACCATGTGATCTTGAACTCATAGATGGGGCGCTTGCAGTAGTAGTGGTTGATGAGGTGCTTGTCACACACCCCGATGCACTGATGGTCCACAGTGAGGCCCTGGGCTGAGAGGTCTGTGACCAGGCAGTGCAGTAGGTCATAAACATCAGCCACAGCCTCCCAGGGCCCAAAAGATACATCCACTTCGCAGTGGTGCTCAAAGAGCTGCCCATCACTCTCACTCCGCTCGAAGCGCAGGGAGTTGAGAAGCGGACACTCATAGGGGGTGATGGGCATCTCCTCCTTGAAGACACAGACCTTGAGCTTGGCAAAACGGGCCTTCCGCTGTACTGCACGCAGCCGGGCAATCTCCACAATCCGCTCCAAGTGGTCTAGGGGGGTGAACACAGCACCCATCACTGGGACAGGGGTCAGGATGTCGGGGGGCAGTGGGCAAGGCAGCGTCAGGGCACGAAGAGAGAGCCCCGGTGAAGGCATGATCCAACAGGGAAGAGGCAGATCCTGGGGAAGGGACTCTGGGCCCGTGAAAGGCACAAACTTAAACCGGGATCATGGGTCTCCCAGGCAAAAGAAACCAAAAGGACAGAATGAGGATCATCCTTTTGAAATGTGATCTGATGATGTCACAGGAAAAGTGGGCCCTATTGAACCTGAATCTTCCCAGTTTGACTGGGAGGGGAGAGCAGAAGGGGAAGCAGAAATCTCTCTGATCCTGAGTAATACGGATACATCTTAGACCCACCTCTCTGGTGACGACCTATGCACACACAGATGCCTTGCAACCCTCCTTTCCCACACCTCAACCACCCTGGGCAGCTGACACCTCACCTTTGTAATAAGGCATGAGTCCCAGAAACGCCTGGCGCACTTTCTCCCCCTTCAGAGGCTGCATGTTCTCTAGCTGCTCCAGGAGGGGCCCGATGGCATAGTACTGAGCCTCTTTGTACACAGCCCGTACACGCTCCCGGGGTGGCAGGTCCCCTGAGCGCAGGAAATTCAGCACATCTCTGAGCAGGAAGGAAAGAGGGTTGGTGAGAAGGAGCTAATGGATCTGGGCAGTGTCACATAGTGGTTAGAGCACAGAGTCTGGAACCAGACTACTAGCTGTGTGACCTTGGAGAGGTGCCTTGATTTTCCCATCTGTAAAATGAGGGAAAATTTAAAAACTACCTTGTAATGGTATAAAGGGATTAAATGATTAAAAAGTGCTTAGAAAATACCTGGCACAAGGTAAGTCCTCAATAAGCATTAATAGCTGTTATTATCAGTATCATCATTATTACGGTTATAATTATCATTAGGTATATTTATTTTATTAGGTATTGTTATTTTTGGGTATATATAGGAATAATGGAAACATACATATTCTAGGCTCCTTAAGACATATATATTTAAATTGAGGTCTAATTAATATGCAACAAATGTACAAATCTTTTTTTTTTCAAACGTACAAACCTTAATTGTATAGTTTTATTATAACCACCACCTAAACCAAGATACAGAACATTTCAATCTCCTCAAAGTTTCCCTCTGCCTCTTCTCATTCAATCCCAGAATTCTATCAACAAAGATTAGTTTTGCCTCATCTTAAAACTCATGTAAGTGGCTGGATCTACTATAATTGATTTAACCCATTCTCCTGCTGATGGACAGTTGAGTTGTTTCCAGTTTAGGGCTCTTATGGGTAAAGCTGTGATGAACATTCCTGTATAAGACTTTCTGTGGACACACGCACCAACTTCTCTTGGCTAAATATTAGGAGAATTGTTCAGTCATAAGGTGAAGCGCATGCTTAACAAAATGGTTGTAGCATTTTATGTTTCCACTAGCAATGTAGTAGCCTTCCCCATTTTCTATATTTCTTTGCCATTCATCTTATTTTGTAGCTATATGGACAGCAAATGCTACCCTGAACACCTGGACAAATTGGTTTCTCGAATGAATAAAATCACATACTGCATTTTCTTAAAATAAAAATTCAGTTCTTTTAATTCCATCTTCAGATTCTTTGGTGCTAAGAGTAATCATAATCAGATCCATCGCCAGTTAAGTGTGGCAAGGTCTTTACTTCTGTAAAGATATGTGAGTAAACCCCAAGATCAAGATGTTGCCTCAATAGTTTGTCTATGACCATGATGTAACGGCAGTTACCACTCACTAAGTATTAGTCTGGGTCAGCTACTATTCATGTGTTACCCCATTTAATCCCTTCAATGACATTTAAGTGCCATCTTAGGTCCATTTTTAAATGAAGAAAAAGAGGGGCTCAGAGAGGTTAAAGAATACCCTTACTCAAGGAGCTACAGCTAGCAGAGGCCCAGATGCAGTCATGGTTGACTCCAAGTCCATACCCACAGTGGTCCAGACTCTAGTCCAAAGTGTTATTCACTGATCACAGTGGGAAACTGCCCCAGGTGGTGACCCAAGCAGCCTCCCTGGTGGGTGCTAGAGACACATGAGCTGCCCCAGCAGAGAAATGTACCTGATCAAATGCCCTGAGCCCCTATTTTATTTTTTCTGAGTCTTTAAGCAGCTTCATCTGCTGATGATGAATCACAGACCATTGGAGTCTAGCAGCCTGAGGATAAATGCCACAATACCCTGCTTTCTGCCACACCCTGGCCCAGCTCTGACCCTCTCCAGCTATGGCCACCTGGGCATGGGCACATCAGCTTAGAGCCAAAGTCTGTTCCTCCTCCCCACAACCCCTTCCCAAATTAGTCCTCTAGGATCTTAAGCAAACCTTGGTCTGCTCTGAAAAACATGACCCCAGGGCAAGGCCCAGCTAAGAGTGCTGTGGGAGTTGCCAGTTGGGGCCAGCACTTTCCTCCCCCAAACAGCCTGCAAACAAAAATCTTTTTATAGCTCTGCAGAGCGATGTGACACTTTGTTTTCTCAGCATTGGAGGCAGCTGACAGCCCATGGGGAAACCCAGATGCTTCAAAGCAAATTGCATGACCAGAGGCTCCTTTCTGAGGATAAAAATGACCTTTCTCCCAGTGCAGGCGATCCTACTTGGGAGGCCAGCACAGATACGTAGTGGTTGAAGACTTTCTGACTCCTTAGCCAATGTGTTGAAGGTCAAGAATCATGTTAGTTCTGTAGTCATCTCCAAAGTTAGACTGAAGGGGCAAAGAGCTTCAGCCACATGCTCTGGAAGGACCCGGTGAGGGGTCACACCAAGGCTCTTTACGTAATCGGCATGGCAGGCCTGTGAGGCAGCTGTAATTATTTCTCATTTCACAAGCAAGGAAACTAAAACATAAAGTCTTTAAATTGTTTACATGTTAAGGTATCAGAAGTCTTTCCTTGGGAAGGGCTATTTTCTTTTTTGAGATTGTGTCTTTCTGTGTTTTAGCGTTAAAATGACAGTCACAACTGAAGGTGTTTGTTTGTTTTTTTCTAAAGGCTTTTCTTGGCAAAATTAAAAGATGGCAATCATATGTTGGCCCTTCCTTCACCTTTTTTGTTCATTTGTTTTAAACCATCAAAGAAAGTCTGAGAACCACGGTCATACACCATGTCCCTCCCTAATGGCAATGTGGAGCCCCAGAATCTGAATCTGAGGATATTCTCCAAGAAGTTGTTTTGGGGCTCCCCTGCCTATAGGTGGCATCACACCTATTCCATACAGATGACAACTTCCTGGTCTCCAATTTCATCACATCCAGCCAGTGTGTAGCACCTGGGCTCTCTCTGGCTGTCCTTGTCTCCTCTGGGAAAGATACTATGGCTTTTGATCCAATTCAATAAGCACATTTATTAAATTCCATCAGTACATTTGCTATTTTCTGGGTATTAATGGAAGATACCAAAGCCCCATATTGAAGCCCAGGTCCTACTTACTAGAACTATAAGGTTGATCATAGAGGGGGAAACATACCCAAAGTGGGTGCCATCCCGGTCAATGAAGTACCGGCCCTCGGAGTCTGTGGGAATGTAATGTCGCCCGCTGAACATGGCCGCCAGCATGGTGTCTTCATAGCGCCGCAGGGTAGACAGGCGTGTGGTGAAGTGAGCCCCTCCAATGTTAAGGGGAACAACCTCAGGAAACTGGAAAGGAACCACCGGCACTTTCAGCCAGGCATTGGGGAATGAGAACAGAGGCTGCTCTGATTGTGGTCTTCTGGGGTCTTATTAGTGCTACACCATTCAGTCACCCAACGCTAAAATCCAGGAGTCTTTCTGAATGTTCTTCTCTCTCCTCTCTTTCCCCACACTCATCAGTTGCCAAGACCTACCCCCACCCCCCCCCCCCCCCAGCCATTAAATCAGGCTTCCCACCCCAATTCTGCTATCGCTGTTCTGGAGTTCAAAGCCGTCATTGTCCTCTTTTCCACTTCCTGAATTTGTCGGTTTTATGCCCTTGCTCATGCTGTCTTCTCTGTCCAGAATGTTCTTTCCACTCTCCCTTTGTCCATCTAGCAAATGCATTTGCCCCGTGTGTGGTGTATGTTGTTCACTGCACAAGGACACCGATCTGAGAGTGATCTGCTGGCCCAGCTGTGTGTCCTTTCTCTAATACACACCAAGGCACCATATAGGTTAGCAGCATCCGCGCATTCTAAAAGTTTCTCTTCAGGGCGCCTGGGTGGCTCAGTCGGTTAGGTAGCTTGATTTCAGCTCAGGTCATGATCCCAGGGTTGTGAGATGGAGTCCTACGCTGGGCTCCATGCTGAGTGTGGAGCCTGCTTAAGATTCTCTCTCCCTCTGCCCGTCCCCAAGTTGTGTGCACATGCGCACACTCTCTCTTTCTTAAAAAATAAAATAAAAGCTTCTCTTTAAGTTTCCCAATTCTGTAAGCATTTCTGTTCTATTGTTCCTCACATGCACCCAAGACAGAGTTAACTGAACATTCCCTCCATCGTGCCTTCACCATGGACCACACACCCTCCTCGCCTAGCACGGTACACCAGCAGTTACTTTCCTCTGTCAGCTCTCCCTTCTAGACCTCAAGCTTCCTGAGGGCAGGGACGGCATCTTGTTCACTAATCATGAGGCCACCCGCAGCAGGGCTCATAGGTGTTTGTGGAACAATTCGAGGCATCCACTCCTCATTCTTTGTACCTCACTGCTTCTTTCTTAATCTGTAGAGTGAGATCAGTCCCCCGTCCAGCTAAGGTTCCGGAGGCAAGGGCAGGGGGAAGAACAGGGAATGATGGTATAGATTTGCCAGAAGTTCTAGGGTCTCCCTAAAATACTCAGGACCTTTTTTGGGGGAGGTGGAGGGTGGGAATATCTTTCACTGCTTGTGGTTTTAAAGAAATGAAGCCAGTTCTCTCTAATTTTCCCACAACCTCCAGATTGACTAAAATTTTGTACGAGTGCATACTTTTCAATATTACATCTCTAAGGCTCCAGTGTATGTTTATCCAGATAGTCCTTTCCCCCAGCCTTCCAGTTTTTTTTCCTACATTTTTTTGGGTATAGTTGACGCACAACGTTACATTAGTTTTGGGTGTATGACACCGTGATTAGTTAAGTCTTTACACGGTATGCTTACAAGTGCAGCTACCACCTGCCACCATTTATTACTGTTATGATTTCACTGACTGTATTCCTTATGTTGTACTTTTTATCCCCGTGACTTATTTATTCCATAACTAGAAGCAAATACCTCCCACTCCCTTCACCCATTTTGCCCATCCCTCCACCCTTCCTGCCCTCTGGCAACCACCAGCTTGTGCTCCGTATTTATGGGTCTATTTATGCTCTGTTGTTTTTTTGTTTGTTTTTTAGATTTCACATATAAATAAAATAATATCAACTTTTTAAAAGTTCTTTGTGAACTAAAGTAGGATAAAAATACATTAAATCAAAGTTGCCCAGAGCCTAGTGCAGTGCCTGGCATGCAGCAAAGACCCAAGTGTGCATTAAATGAATGAGTGAATGAATGCATGAAATAGAAAGGTTATGTACAGTTCTTCTGTGCGTATGCACTGTTACTCTTCTGCAACCAAAGGATAACAAATGCCTTCTACTTAGTCTATAGCTCCAATAAAACTATTCTAGGTGCATAGCAAGGACTCAAATATTTTGAGATAAGAATGCTTTACATTTCTGGAGCTCTTTACACCTCTTCCAAGGATATCTCATACCAATCCAAGTGTCTGCTCCACAGTAGAGCTGAAAAGACTGAGGCACAGAGGCAAAAGCAACCAAAAACTGTTCTGGATCTCACATGGAACAATGTATCGGGGGGGGGCGGGGGCGGCCCGCTGGCCTACAGTCTCTGGGTGTTGCCTCTTTGTCTCAAACCCCATTCTTTCCCCAATGACAGTGCATGAAAAGCAAGCACCACAGTGTTTCTAACGGCTCCACCCCGCACGCGCCCCCCCCCCAATTGCAAAGAGTACTTCTAGAGTTGTGCTCATTGTTGTGTTTCATGATGTCGAGGGCACAGGCTTCTAATCCCCAGGGGAGGAGCCACCCCCGGCCCAGCCCTGCCCCTCTGGAGCTGTCCATTCTCCTAGGATTCCTCCACACCCCACAGGCCCCCACATCCAGCACTACCTTAGCTCCTACCTTCTGTCTCCCTCTTCAGCTCCCAGCAGTGCCCCACCTTCCCTTCTCTTTCCCCTTCTCTTGAGTGACATTTCAGCTCTAAATGTGATACTGTTATCACATCAAGACCAGTGGGAAGGAAAGCCATGGAGGTGTCAGGTGAGTGTGGACACATCTATTAATTAGCCTGCTTCTTATCTGCACAGAGTCCCTGACCCCACTTTCTGGGCAGCTGGAGGTTGGGTCTGGGCAACCACCAAGGCCTCCTCCCTGATTTTCTAGAAAACACTCTCATCTCTTGGGGCTCCAAGGTTCCCTTCCCACAGACTACCCTCCCTCCTCTAGTTGTTAAGGATGGGACTTAGGGGTGGGAGTAAACCAACCGTGCAGTGAGTGAACACTGAAAGAGGGGGGCGTGGGGTGGGGAGATCAGGTGCCCCCCGGGGACAGGAAGACACACCTGTGCCTTTTACAGGAGGATGAGTGGGCTGGGCAGCTCGGCTCTTCTGGCGCCGCCCTCAGCCCGACCCCCCCCCCCCCCGCCCCGACCCCAGCCTCGGCGCTGCTCACACCCCAAGGTCAGTTCTGCCGGGCACCTGCTTCTCCCTCTGCGCCCCTTCCCACGCCCCACCCCCCGGGTACCTCCTGGGGCAGCAGGGGCAGCGCGTGCCCCGCCTGCGTGGCCGTCGGGGTGGCCGGCTCCAGAAAGTCGTCTTCGGCGTCGGAGCTGGACATGGCACCGTCCGGGCGACGGCTGTCTGGCTCCCGCCCCGTGACTACCACCATCCCTCTGGCTCTGGACAGTGGGCGCGGCTTCGGGCGGGCGGGAGGCGGCGGCCCCGGGCACTAGCGCCGAGCAGCGCCCGACATGACGCGGCGCGGCCGACGGGCGGGCCCGGGGGCGGGCTGGGGGGGGTGGAGAGCGCAGCGCGCGAGAGCCGGAGGGCGGCCACTCCCTCAGCGCCAACGGGCTCACGGACCACCGCGCGGATCGCAGGGCCACCGGCCTGACCCGGCCGCCTCCCGCTATTGGCCGAGGCTCCTCTTGCTCCGCCCCTGATTGGCAGGAGGCTTGTCCAGTCCAAGAGCAGGCAACGCGTTGAGTCTGCGCCCGAGTGGCCACTGGGAGCCGGACCTGCTTGCCTGCCCTGCTCTGATTAGTCCCCAGGCCAGCGGGCGCGCCCCTTCCATTCGCTATCCGCCCGGCGCACAGGGCGGCGCGCGAGATCGCCACATCTACGCGGACCCTCCTCGTTGGCTCGGAGGGTGGCTCCCGCATTGGAGTCGACGCCTAGTAACTAGACAGCAGGCAGGGCTCTCGAACTAGCTGTTCTATCTTCAGGGCAGTGGGTTTTGTGTCTCCCTGGGCGTCGAAGGCCGGGGAAATCCGTAGGAGGGGAGGAGCAGGTCACCTCAGTGGAGGTGGCGGCGGGAGGACGTCTTGAGGATGCGGAGGGTGTGGCGGGAGGGACGGCTGAGGTTGTGAGAGAGGAGGGGCAGCATTGCGATCGGGCGACCCTCCACAGGCCACAAGGGCAAAACCTGGGTTTCCAGTCCTTCCTGATGGACTCATGCAGGAACCCGAAAAGAAGAAACCTCAAAATAAGAGCACCTGAGTTCAGTTAAAAATGACAGTGGGGCGCCTGGGTGGCGCAGTCGGTTAAGCGTCCGACTTCAACCAGGTCACGATCTCGCAGTCTGTGAGTTCGAGCCCCGCGTCAGGCTCTGGGCTGATGGCTCAGAGCCTGGAGCCTGTTTCTCCCTCTCTCTCTGCCCCTCCCCCGTTCATGCTCTGTCTCTCTCTGTCCCAAAAATAAATAAACGTTCAAAAAAAAAAAAATTACAGTGACTCTCCATCCTCCACGTGCCAGTTCCTCCGCGGATGGACACAGGCCCCACCCAAAGAAGCTGACATACTGTCTGCAGCCTCAGGCTGTGTCCCCTGGGAGGGGCTGGGTCAGCTCAGGGACTGACTCTCCTAGGCATCACGCTCTGAGCTCTTTCAAACCATTTTTACACCCAGTTCCTCATCTGATCCTACTGTTGTGACAGAAAAGGCAATTGAGACCTAGAAGACTGGAACAGCTTCAGAGAGGTGGGCAATGAGCTAGAGGCACACACAGCACTTCCTCTGTTGGACCAATCACACTCCCAGGTGGAGAAGTGTTCCAGGTCAGTGTTTTCTCCCACATCAGTTGCATCGAAATCACTGGAGGGCGACCTTGTTAAAATACAGAGTCCCAGTCCTACCTCCAGAGAATCTGATTTGGTCTGTCTGGAGTGAAGCCCTTACATTCGCACTGCTGACAAACTCCCAAGTTATCCTGATGCTGCAGGTGCATGAACCACGCTTGGAGTAGCACTGCCCTAAAGAGGGTCCCTTGAGGCTTTCTCTTATCTATCACTACTCTCTCCAGCCCTTCCCAAGGACCTGTATAACAAAATTTCCTCTTTCTGTCCCATGACAATTAGGACGTTTCAGCTGTAACAGAAACTGCGACCAAACTTGGCTTAAATGAGGATTTTATTATCTTACCTAACAAGAAGTCTGAGCAGATCCTGGGTTGATTCACTCAACATGGAGTTACCTGGACCAGCTTCCTTCCATTTCTCCACCCTCCCAGGTGGCCTCTCCTCACCCTAGGAATCCATGTGAGAAAACCACAGAACTGAGTCAGGAAGACAGTTTTTCCAACTCCTTAAGGAAAGCCTGTATAAAGAGAATGAGAAGGGAGACCCAGAGGCTCAGGAGGTGAGGAAATCCACGTGTAACTAGTTTTACGTTGCATTCTGAATGTGTTGGAGTTTTCATTTTCCATTTCTGCTGAGGATTTCCTTTAGTAATACAGTTTCCCAGTTGTTTCTGTTTACACATTTGGTGGGGTGGGGGGGGGGGGGTTGGATCCAAGGTCAGCAGCCTGGAATGAGGACTTGCTGAATGAGTGGGAAGGGGTTGGAACAGGCTTTCTGGGAAAGCAGGGCACTTTGCTGGCAGCATCTATCCCCACCCAACAGTGGAATGACTTCCAGGCCAGTTCACATGAAGGCTGCAGGGAAGGGTCAGTGAGCCTTTAAGAGAAGGAAGGGATGAGTAGCACATACTCATGCAGAGGTGGGGGCTGTTGTCAGAATACAGGCAGGTATACTCTGGGATCACTTCTCCAAGAGTAAACCAAACAAACAGGCCTGAGATCAAGCCCTGAGATTAGTAACTGGACGCTATTCTCCATGTCTCCCTAACAAAAAGAACTGAATGCTGGCAAATCTCCAGAGTACTGATTCAGCTACTGAATTTTCCCTCCTTATTCTAACTTACTGAATAATTTAACAACCAGAAAGGAAATGAAAACAGAAGTAAAAGCATCCATCTTCTTTTCCATATCACCTTTTCAGTTTTCATTTTGATTTAAATGTTTTAGACCCATAAAAATTATAGATAATACTTAGCTCCCTGCTCATGAAATGCAATATCACAAACACAGTTGTGTCTGCACATACCTCCCTAATTTCATCCCCCCTCTCCTATATATCGTATGTATCATTCCATGCATGTTTTCTCTTTAGTTAGGATATATGACACAGCAAAGTGCAAAACTATATATGTACGGTTTGAAGAATAATTATAAACGAGCTACCCATAAAACCACTACTCAATCACGAACTAGAATATTACCAGTCCCTACATGCTCCAAGGGTCCTCCCTGATGAAGACAACCTCCATTCTCCCAGAGGTCACCAGCATCTTTACTTTTCTGACAATCATTTCCTTGTTTTCCAAGTTTAACTACCCCTGTCGACACCACTGAGCAATGCAGCTTAATTTTTGTTTTTAGACTAAATAAAGGCCGCGTTATCCATGCCACTGATGAATATTTAATTATTTCCTAGTGTTGTATCAATCAGTGCTGCTACACATCTTATTTTAATGTCTCTTGCTGCTCTGAACATTTCATATCAAATCATGTCACTCCTCCATTTAAAGCTCTTTAAAGGTATTCTTGTTTCAGAGAGGAGTGAAGAAAAAAAGCGTAGTTCTGAGTGAAGTGAAGGGAGAATGGGAAGAAAGAAAGAGAAAAGAGTGGGGGGGGGGAGTGGAAATACTCTGTGGAGGAGTTTTGCTAGCGCCCAGAAGTCTTCCACCTTCCAAGTTTTAACTTCAATAAATTGATCTTTGATCTCTAGATTCTATCTTTCTCCCAAAACTGGTTTATTTGCTTTTCTACTTCCTTAAGACTGATGGTCCCTTGCCCTCTCACCCTTTTTTCTCAGGTAGCTAATAAAATCACTTGATTTTATTTTCTCCCCTATCCTACCATGACCCCACATATCCATCTAAACATCTCCCTAGGGAATGTCTTCCTGTGTTCCCTTGCCAGCACCTGACCAAGGGACAAAACCCATTAGATTAACCCATCAGCTTTCTGTGCTCTATCTCTGGATAAGTGCCATCACCATATGAATTTAGATACCACTATAAATGCATGATTAACTCATGCAGTGCCACTGGGCCATCTGTCCATGTGTTTCTTCTAGTCAGCTCTTTCCTTTTTTATTTTTAATGTTTATTTATTTTGAGAGAGAGCAAGAGAGAGCGAGCGCATGAACAGGGGAGGGGTAGAGAGAGAGAGAGTGAGAGAGAAAAAACCCAAACAGGCTCCATGCTATCAGTGCAGAACCTGACGTGGGGCTCGAACTCTCAACCACGAGATCATGGCCTGAGCCAAAATTGAGTTGGACGCTTAACTGACAGAGCTACCCAGGCACCCCTCTTTTTTTCTTTAGTTGAGATATAATTGACATATAACATTATATTAGTTTTGGGTGTACAACATAATGATTCAATGTTTGTATAAATTGCAAAAAAAGATTACCACAATAAATCCAGTCAATATCCAAGTCAGCTTCCTTTTCTATTTCCAAACTTACTCTTTCCAAGGCCCCTCTGCACTCCAGGATATCTCCTCTCCTTCCAGCAAATGGAAACTTGGCTTTTATTGCATAGAGTAATGCAGCTATCAGGCATGAAGAACTTCCTCAACTTCCTACCATCTCACCCTCAAGTTAACCATCTCCTCTGGGTTTGAGGCTAAATCTCCCCAAGGAGGCTCTAACTTGTACTTGCTCTATAAGTTAACCCTTCTCTCTCCTGAATTTTTGGTCTCTTCCTCTGTATGGTTTTCTTGGCTGCAGCCTATATTATGTGCCAGTTTCTCCCATCATAATAAATAAAAATTCTTCTTCAATCTTGCATCTTTCTCTAGGTAGCACACCTTCTTTCTCTGTCCCATGGTAGCGAGTATTCTCACAAGTGTCCATACTGTTTCCTCTATTTCCTTATCCCCATTGCAGAGTAGGTTTCACACCCATCACTGAAACTGCTCTCCCCAAGATCAGCATGGCTTTCTAACTGCCAAGCCCAACCATCTGTCCTTGAACTCTCTAGATCATACCACAGTGGAGTCTCTTAAAACCCCCTCCTCCTTTGAATTCCATGAGCCTTTCCTTCCCTTCCCTTCCCTTCCCCTTTCCTCCCCTCCCCTCCCCTCCCCTCCCTTCCCCTCCCCCCTCCCGTCCCCTCCCCTTCCTTCCCCTCCCGGGGGGGGGGGC